ACAAATTGTTTTGAAATGTTTCAGGGTCGATATATCTGGAATGCAGACATTAAAATACAAATAACTGCACATGAAAGTTGAAATTTGACTGTTTTCTACTTTTTTATAATGAGCATAAATATTATTACACACATAGAGGGCATATTTTCAAGAGTTGTAAATAATGTTATGCATTCGCGAATGATCGCGGATTTTGGATAGAATTTTAATAAGATTTAATAAATGAGACTTACCACTGAATGCGTTATTATAATCCTTAACGGTTTTAACGTTAACAATAATCACAAGCTCGTAGAATACTGACTATCTTTATATATTCCGGAGTTGTCACTATATATCATCACAACAGTTCGTTACTAAAAGTTTTTTTAAAATCAGCGCGACACATTAAATTTTACCGTTGGCATTAAATATTCCGCTTCTTATTGTGTGTTAATATTTTTTGCTTCATCAATCGTTTCTCAACAAATATATTTTCTATAATTATACATCTCCCGTATTGTCTTCGAGATTATGTAATTCTTTCTTATTGTAATTAAGATATAAGAATGTTCTTTCTCTGTTTCTGCTACGATGTCCACGATAAAATGCCGATAAACTGTTATCCACAGATGTTCGTACATCCAACAACATAATATCGGTTTGTTGAATTTTTAATGTGTAATGCACTCCAACTTCATTAGACAAAGCAATAAAACGGTATATTATTGTTAATTTAACTAAGTTTTTGATCAAGTAGTTGTTTCACCAGATGCCTATGCACTATTTCATTTATTCGTGATTTTTTCGTCATATCCATACATCGACCTCTTTTTCGTCGCCTCCTGGAGATGCTGTTAATATTTTCGGTGTGTAATTTCTTAATCCGGACCTGCTTTTCTCACTCAAAACCCTATTATTACGTGTCTTCTCCTCTTCTATGTCCAAATAAGATTTAATATATAGATGCTCGTTGAGGTATTTTGTTTGTTGTTTAGTCGATTTCTCTGAGCTCGATGAAGCGCTAGTCTGTGTCGATCTCTCTGTTGCACAACTGACAATGGATGATGTCGATTTCCGATTTGATAATATGGAAGACGTATTCTTTTGTTTTCGGGAGGACAGACACTGTTGGGTCGGTAATTGGTTTTGCGAATGGCTGGCGAATGATGCAGGTCTCTTGATCACTTGCGAGTATTGGACGGAAGCAGAGTTGTTTTGTGATTGATGTCCAGGAAAGCGTTCGTTGTATTTTGGTGCTGGAACGGACTTCTCCTGTCCCATTTCTAGCTTGCCTCAGTTAATCAGAATAATCTGAAAAGAAATAGATAGGCGTTGATTTAAAAAAAAAATTAATTGTTTTATACTTTGCAGAATTCGCTATTATCATTGTCATTTGTTCGTCTAATTATGTATTTTTAGAACTATATATCGTATATATCGTTCTTGAGATTTATAATTGTTTTGAAAGTTACTTCACATATTGTACAATCGTAAGCAAACATAATGAACCGTATGTGAAATAGGCTGAAGCCATGTCGAAACGTAGTCATTAAATACGGTTTTTTCCTACAAAATCTTTATTATTTCTATACTTCATAAACTTATTCATAAAGATCTATATATTTAATAGTTTATACTGTATTGTTACACGAATAATTAACTCTATATCGTGTTGAATCATTTTATGTATTTTTAATAGCATATGTATTTATTTTACTCATGTGGTTTTAATATATTCAAGTTTTATGTTAGAACGAATTTGAGTTTATTAAAATATAATAATTATTTGTGAAAGCGCTTCTGAAAGTTAAACGCGGAAAGGCAAATAGAAATTATCTCTATATGAATTATTCATTAAATGCTTCAAAAATAATCTTCGCAATACGCAATATATTTTACGTTTTTTTTTGTGAGTGAACATTCATAGTATACATTTGTTGTTCTTTATTTAGCTATTAAAAGTTTAATTTTTGAATTCGTTATCAATTCAAAAAATTACCTACAATATAGTTTCTTAAATCCATTTTCAAATCATGGATTGTTGTAGGATTTAGAATTTATTTCAATAAATTTTGATTTTATACCCTGTAGAGTTACATATATTGGTGTGTTTTGACCATAGTGTTTTCAAGTCTGAATAACTATCTCTAATATCTCAAATGTCTCTAATACATCAAAGGACAGATAGCATAAAAGTATTAAAAAATATAGAATAAATTCAATTCAGGATGACAAGTTCTAAAATATAAAAGTAGTATCAATCACATTACTCACATCATTGATGCAGCGTAATACTTATGATGGTAATCCATAATAACTGATACAATTTTAAATTTGCATTTAAATCACAACACTTAATTATCACAAAATATGAACTAACAATGGGGATTGAACTTTTTTTTAATTTATTGATGCGCTGTTGTTGTGATCCAAACCGCTGGTAAATAATCTGAATTGGTGTAACCTATTAATCTTCTGCAGGCGCTGCTGCGTTCGGTCGTCGACTGACGGCGAGTCCGCGTCGTCATTATGTTTCTGTTTCTGGTTTGAACGCTCGCGTGATCGCTCTCTTCCTCACTTCTTCTCTCTACGATTCTGTACCTGCACACTCGCATGTATCATGTATACACTTTCATTTGCGGGCGAGCGGCCGGTCACTTTCGCTGATTCGCGGACTCGATGTCATAAATAAGACATAGAACAAGATCGATCACACAGGTTTAAATAAGTGGCGTTTACAATTTACATAGACCGGACGATAAACTGAAGGAAACGGTCATCTATTAACATATCTTCCAAAATAGCTAATGAGATACACGAAATTAAGTTAATTTCATTTTATTATGCAAGTCCAGCTGAAAATAGTGAATTAGTACATTGAAGAGGCTTGTTATGATAACTCTTCTCCTCAACTAATTGATAAAGCCGTCGTAACGAACGCACTGAGAATAATTTAGCGTACTTATTACTTTCACTAGCTGATTGTACTCTGTTTGGCTTCGTGCACTTTCGTTTTCCTTACTTTGCACCTTGGTCTATCTTCGATATTTATTCCTATGGCTATTTGTCAAGTTTAGGGAAACGTGTTGATCCTTGTAGTAAAGGAAATGTTCCTGGAGTAAATCAGAAGTAATAGTATCCTCTAGCTATTTCCTAATCCATAATCTTTTGGAATAATTGTTCTACTCACAAAAATAATTGTTCATCTTTGCACTTTTCTATATAAAAAGCTTACACGTGAATTAGTGATTAGGGCTATGAAATTTGAATCAGAAGTTCCAGGTTCGATACTTTCCTGCCTGATGACAAGCAGCAGTAACACAGGTTTTTATTAGGAAATATAGAATATAGATAGCAATATGTTTCCAAGAGAAAATAGCCCTTAACTGCCATTCCTGTTTCAGAAATGGTAATATTGGTAGTTGGAACTGTGTTTCGGTTTTTTTTAATTTGTGATTGAAACCTTAGGATTGTATAATGCGTACACTTCGAAATAATGAATTCTAAAAACAATATCAAAATATTTTTATTTTACTCTTAATGTCAAAGTCGTAAACGATTCAAAAGTAATTATTGCAGTTTTCTAAATACGACTATGTGTGTCGATGATATAGGCTTTCTATTTCATTTAATTCATGCAAAAATTCCGGTTTCAATGTATATAGTTAAAGCTTATGGTCTTCTAGATAGTTTTTAATCATTTTTCTGTTATTTACGGTTTGTGAAAATATGCATTAATTCTTCAATTCGAATAAGAGATTGATTCTATTGCGGATCGAAAAATTACAAAGTTATTTGCAATCTTGACTTGGAATTATTCAACAACTTTCACAAGTGTGAATTAGTAAACAAACATGTATTATTTGTTTATATCGTAACTAATTACATGTGTATTGAATTTTGTTAGTTACTGCTTAAATAATAATTTATGTTATGCATTTGTAATATTTGTGTTGAACTAATAGAGATAGTGATAATGAAGTGCTCTAAAATTTTCTGAATTTGTATGGTGATAGTTCCGAAACATATAATATAAGTATTCCAAATTTCACACTACAGCTTAAAAAACTTTTAATAAAAATTCAAGATTTAATATATAAATAACCTGCGTATTTCTAATATTATAAATCTCTGAAGAATCTGAATAACTTAACAAGTTTTGCTAAACGACACAGCAAAAAAAAATCGGATAAAGTTTGTGATTCATTAGAATGTTTTTACATATCATTACAATAATTGATTCTTATGAAATAATTATTGATTTTAATATGATTTAAATAATATTTTTATTATCGATCGCACAGCAAAACTGTGAGACACCTCACATAAATTCTTTGAAGTAGTGAAAGTTAATGTTCAAGCTTAAGATGGCGTTAGTAATTTATTATAAACAAAATATATGCGAATATGAATTAATAATATTAGAACTAATTATTCGCATAATAGTGAATATATTTATACTCAAAACACTTCGATCAACAATTAAATATTGACAATGTTTTTACTTTTTAGATTAAGTGCTATTGATATTATGTTTTATAATATTAATTATAATTAATCAATAACGTTATAACAAGTCAACCATTTTATTTACACGTTTTACAACTTAAATAATAAATATAATAACTTACAATAATATTCCGTATACATTCAACCCACAACATACAATACTATTTTATAAATATTAGTTTACATTCATTTGTACTCTTAATGTAAAGTATTATTCTATTTTGGCAAGTTATTCTTTCACTCGTCTATTGCACTTATCTTATTTGACCATTATATTAACTTTTGTTAACTATAACAAAATGTACACATTATGTTATACAACATATTCCTATAAATCGTATATTATATAGTCTACCCATGGTCCTAAACGTTTAACATCGAAATAGATTTTAGTTTTATATTCCTAAATTGAGATTTTGCGAATAATTTTGTTCAATTAATATTATTATTGAATGTAAATAAATTTTCAATGAAATTGCAATTTGAATGAGTGACTATTTGTTTTCTGGCTAAGATTTTCCATTAATAGAAATAGTTTTATTGAAATCTTCACATACTTCAGATGCTCGTCGTTTTCTTCGTTTCGTCGGGCTCTGGGACCATAATTCTTTGACCATATCGGCGCCCTTTTCTCCTATCATTATAACGGGTGCGTTGATATTTCCACTGGTAATTGTTGGCATAATGCTGGCATCGATCACTCTCAACCCCTTGACGCCACGAACCCTCAGTTGAGGATCTAATACGGCCATGGGGTCGCTGTCCGGGCCCATCTTGGCGGTGCAGGACATGTGATAGATCGTCATCGTGTATTGTCTCACCGCGCAATCCCAATACTCGTCTGTGTAAAGTGGTAAATGCTTGCAGTTAGGCAACGGGCGACTATGCCAGCGTGACCCAAACCTTTTCAAAGCTTGAGTTTCGCCCACGGCCAATGCTGCCTTGTAGCCCTCTCGTAGTACGCCGACGTCGTCGGGATGAGTTAGATAGTTGTGATAGAGTAGTGGATACTCCAAGGGGTTTTTAGACTTTAACTTGATCTCTCCTCTACTTTTCGGACGTAACATCATGGGAAAAACGCCAAAAACATCCTTATTGTTGATATCTTCGAACATTTCTTTATAAAAGGCGTCGGATAACCCATGGGCAGTTTTAATATTGGTACCACCATCGCTGTTTGTCGATGCACTTGTCAACATAAATTCTATATCTGGCCAGTCGTCAGATTGGTTGGCGTATTTGGTGGAGATAAAACCAACCGCTTCCAGACCTACAGAAGACGTGAGCGGTCCATCTTCCGTGATCGCGTATCGCAGTGCGGAGTTAATTGTCACCAATCTTCTCATAACAATACTAATAGGGTGGTCTATGAGAAAGGCTATACCACCTATGGCAATATGATCTTGCAAGTTTTGTCCGACGCCCGGTGAGTCGTGTATTACGTCGATTCCGACCTCTCGTAGATGATTAGCCGGACCTATGCCGCTCAGCATGAGTAACTGCGGAGAGTTAATGGCACCTGCTGACAATATGACCTCTCGTTTAGTGTACACCTTGTGTAATTCACCGTTGCGTATGTATTGCACTCCGAGTGCTCGTTTGGTTTGGGGATCCATAATGACCTTTGTTACATGCGAGAATAAAGCAATGTGCAGATTTTTACGTAATCGAATCGGTCGCAAAAAAGCTTTGGATGTGCTACATCTCGCTCCGCGTCTCATCGTATATTGGTAGAACGCGAAACCAGTTTGATTTTCCCCGTTGACGTCAATTATGTCGTATCCCATTTCTTCGCCGGCTTGCAGGAAAGCGGCGCCGAGGGGGCTGTTGTACGGGGCGTCTTGCACTGTCAGATATCCACCTGAATAATCGAAATTCAGTAAATTAATTAATTAATAGATTCAATTAAACTAGAAAATGTTATTTTAGAAACGATTGACACGTATCACAATTAATTTTACATTAATTTAATATAAACCTGTCGAATGATATGGATTGTTAGCTAAGTAGGGATTCCTTTGGTCCTCGCTTTTCTTGAAATAGGGCAATACGTCTTCGTAACTCCATCCTGTGTTACCCATAGCTTCCCAATGATCGAAGTCTCTTCTGTTTCCTCTGATATACAGCATGGTGTTCAGCACTGAGGATCCACCTAAAACTTTTCCCCTCGTCCAGCAACAGCGCTGGTCTTCCATTGCCTGGCAAGCCGATTTTTGAGGCTGAGTCCTTGAAAAATTTTACCATTCATAATTTGATTTATAATTGAAACATTTTACATTATGAAATCAGTGCATTTATTAACATTAATGAAATCTTTAATTTAATAAATAGTCAATTATGATATAATACTAGTAGTATAATTATAATAGAAACATTATCAATACATTACTATTTTGATTAATTCAATACAAAGGTCCACCAATATGCTAGTGTTATATCACCCAATTGAAGCAAATCATGGAGAAATCAACACTTTAATAATATTTCTATTGTATAATTAACTATAAAGTAACTTTAGCTATTTTTTGTCCTTAATAATTATTTTGAGTACTATATATTTATTCATAAGATAATAGAACAAAGAATCATATTTTTTATATTTAATATTATTTTTAAAATATTGAATATGCTTATAAATACAAACAAAATATAACAATACAATGTTCAATATATTTCAGAATCAATTGCATTAAAATATTAATAACTAATTTAAAATTTTCAAAACTATGTTATTTTATTTTATTTATTTTAAAAGATAATAGAAGTTGAAAAATATATGAAAGAATATTATTTATATAATTGAATAGAGACACGAAAAAGGAGAAACGATTGAAAATTATAATCACGTGAGATAATAAGTTTTATTTTTTATATCTTTTACTACACATTTTCAACAAATTTAATTAATAATATTTCAATATGTAATGGAAAATTTATTGTTCGGCAGTGCAATAGTTTCATCAATAACTTCTATAATGTATTATTTTAATATTTGCAATATTTTACGAATTAATCCATAATAACAGGGATTGTTAAATTTCGATACGAAGTCAAATTTAAACAGAGAATGTTCGAAGCTTGGGACGCTTTAAATGTATTTATGAACTTTACGCCCTGCCACAATATAAGCTCTAATGGGAAACGAATTCATGGGGGAACCGAATTAATATTTCTAAATAAATTCAGTTACCTGTATTTCCAATCCATTTTACTTTTATGTAAGTAGAGCGATAGAATGGGCACATCAGAAATTTCGGTCTCGTGTCCACCAGCTTCGAGGAGCAAGACATTCCAGTTGGGATTCTCCGATAGCCTATTGGCCAAAACGGAGCCCGCACTTCCGCCCCCCACGATTATGAAATCGTAGGTCTTGAGCATCTGCTCCTGGGTGACGACCGCCGGCCTGTTCTCGGGATCGAACAGGTCGTAATTGTAATATGCCAGCGATGCTATTAGCACAGGAAGAATTGACAATTTTCCAATTCCTATCAATAGTGTGGCGGCTTTTATTGCCGAAACGATCGTCGTCACTATTGCCATTTTTTCTACTTTTTATTGTCCAACGTTTTGTATTGGCTAGTGATAAAATCTCCTTCTAAAAAACTAATAATATTATTCTCTATAATGGAGGATTATTGTTATTAGCATTATATTTAGTTAAATATGATATATAAAGTTTTAAATATCCAGTCACGGTTGAAGAGACAAATTAATATTGTCACATGCGACAGAAATATTTTGAATTTCTAGATAGCAATACCAAATTGTTAAAATTGATTCTACTAATTTGTAATAATATTTAAAAAAATGTAAATAATTGCAATGGATAAATTCAAAATTATATAATTAATATTAAATAGTAGGGTTTAGAATAAAAACACCCACAAGGGATCCACTTTATATATATATATATATATATATATATATATATATATATATTTAATTACTAACTTACTTTTCTATTGGACTTCAATTAAAATATACGTTCCCCAACTTTTCAGTACCTAGAAATTATGGAGCAATATTCTCTAACATTTCTGAAATATGACGAACTCCAAGTCTCTAATATCTTTTTGGTTACTTCTTTGATGATGTTTACTGGCAACTTATAAATTATTGCCATATTTATTTAATGACAACCGATGATGAATTCTTTATGGCATATGACTCTTGAATTACCAGAATATTTATTTTTGCTGTATGCAGTTAAATTTTACGCCTTGGTAAATTGCGCAAAACAAATGGAGTTTCTCTTCCGTTATGTGTATTATGTTGTTTTTGCTATTTTACTCATAATGAAGGCAAATCTGAAAAATATTACAAAAGCGATGTTGATTATTTGTATAAGAGATTTGTATATATAATGTATGTATGAATGCACCAGAAGATTATGATGACTATTAGATATTAATTTGTATAAAATTTTAATCAGAGCAGCCAATTGATTTTTTTGGAAAATTAAATAAATTTGTCAGTTTTAAAATGTTTAAAGACTATAATGTATCTATATGCTATTTAACTATTTTAACGTTTTTCACAGTAGAGTTAGCTTATTAGATTATAGAAAGTGATCCTACTTCGCTTCGTTAGGCATCTGATGTAATCAGAAATCATTTCCACCTATATGTAGCCATTTCATCAGATATTTGCCAATCAATTGTAAATTAATTTTCCATATAAATAGGATGTACCCAACCCATGAAGTATTACTTGAAAAATAATTACTTAATCGTTCGATTATTTTTTGCTTCTAATTATAAACCTGTCTAATGATGTACGTATATGGGTAATGCATATATACATCCATTTAACAAGAATCTAATTCCACATTACTCAATATTAAAAATTGAAAAAAAAAATACAAACACGTTCAGTAACCTTAATATTCACTCTGAACATGTATGGGTAATGTATGATATAACATACCAAACCGCAAACATCTCTTAATGAAATACTTATTATATTATATAATTCTGTAGTGCGCAATTATAAGAACAAAAAAATAAAATTAATTTCATCTAACACGTCCTCGCATCGAAATAAATAGGTCTAAAAATGAATTAATAATTATGCATTTGTTCATCCTCGCGCTAATTGTAGAAACTGACCAGCATTGACAATCTGCAAAAAGTTGTTCGTAAAAGCATTGGTTTTTATTTGCAGTTGTTTTTTTAATATGATAGTTGCAATCCTTGCAAATGCCTTGAAGGCTACAAGGCTTTACTGGAATGAAGTATTTTTCTTTTTCAAAGAAAATGAAGTACTATAGATGGAAGTCCTCCTATGAGTCGGTATTTTCAATTTTTATTCACTGACTAAACTGAATCTGCATGGTCATAAAACAGTATTTAGACTAATGTTCTAGAACAAATCCCGAATTATTACGACCGAACTCGTAATGTGGTAATTCCCGTAATACACTAGCAATTTACTTTCTACGATTCAAGGTTAATGTATACAACTATTTTCACAAAGTTTTTGAATTCAATTATTTATAATAATGTTTTTTTATTTGGAATAAATCAACGGCAAGAACATTTGTAACACCTTGACACATATATGATGCATAGGATTGCATTGTCGCTTTTTGTTGTTAAATAGTTAATTAAAAAATATTGGTTTATTATTCGGCGCTATTATAATAAAATTCATGATGCATCCGAAATAGAATTTGATAAAGTTTTTAAAAGCTTTTTTCTATTTCACGACATTCATTGCAATCTGCTCCTGCTAATGTAATTATAAGTATATAACTTTTTATATAATGTTACCCTGGGGTAGGCCTTCTAATTGTGAACTAATTATTAAATAAAAATAATTATATAATTCATTCACGTACGAAAACATGTATGTTTTGAAAATGTTTAGAAAAAAATGAAAAAAGAAAGGAATATTTTTTGTTGCGATAATATAAACAGCACTAACGATTTCAATATCAAGTGAATAAGATATTAGTTTCACAAAATAATAATTAAACATGTGGCAAAGTGATAAGGAAGCGTCCATTAATCACGTGAGCGATTTCTAAGGATTTTTGGGTCCTCGGTGATACTTGGTGAACATCACGTGTATTTTTAGTAACTAGAAAAAATCGTAAATTTCTTGTATTTTTTTATTTTTTTAATTTTAGATTTTTTTAAAATTGAGGTTTAAAATAAATACACGTGTTATTTTGCTAAACCTTCCCCTCCCCCACGTGTAATTTCGTAATTTTTTGTCAAACCTTCCTTCTCCTTTAAAGCTCACGTGATTAACGGACGCCCCCTAACACCATAGAAAAGTGGGTTCGTTTTTGATTAATGACATCTTTTGCTTGTAGTCGTTATTCGTGTCGGGGGTTCCTTAAAGTTTATATTGCGTTTCATGTTGTTATTGTTTACTATTACCATAATCCGTTTAATAATCATCAACCTGTATAATATATTGTAGTAATCATCGATCACATTTCTAAACCCGTATCGTTATGCGTTGACCCAGTTCCGAGTGTTTCGCTCTCGCTTTCTTTGGGCTTTTATTACAACAGAGAGACTCGAAGAGACGCGACCACGACAACGACCACGTGCCACAGGACCGCCTTTCACTCTCCACAAATCGCTCTTAGAATTGTGCAAGATCCAGAAACACATATTTGTTCACTTAATTAGCAACTATTAGATCACTTTTTTTGCAAATAATGTACCGGTGCATCGGAAAAACACCCTCATTTTTTAAATTTTACAAAACTGCTGTAGCAGTCAGTAGCATTATACAGATAACATCAACACTGATTTTCAAAATTTGCAAAAAATATTAAATAGGTATTACTAGAATTGGAATTAGATTTTTATATTACTAACGAAAAAAATGGAAAATATAATTAACACGAGCAGTAGTGTCATTAAAAATTTTGATTTATGTTGTAAAGTGATTTTTATATTATGGTTATTACAATTACAGATTCATATATTTTTTCCACTGCTTCCGAAATGATTTCCGTTTACCTCCAAACAAATTAGGCAACTTGTTATTTGCAAATCGAAATGGTTTTAGACATCCCCACTGGTGCTAGAAAGCTATTGGGAAATTCGTCCATGGCGCACCGTCTGCACATCGTCACGTAGTCCACCGCTGGCATTTCTCGTAAAATTACCCAAATTCGAGAATGTGTGTCAGATATTCTTATTCAATTATATAACAATCATTCGTGTAATTTTTTATCACTTGAAATATGCAAATCATCCGGTTATGGCATATTTAATAGCGGAAATAATGTCATCATTCGTTTTATTTAAATTTATCTCGAAATTAGTACTTATTTCAATTAACGGTGAACTAAGGATAATATAATTGTAAAGTTTTTTTTGACTTCTCGCATAATGTTAGTATTCACTAAAATCATTACTAATTCCAAAATAATTAACAACGGATTTATGTTGGTAAAATATGATATGATCCGTCTTACTCTATGGAGCTATTGATTTTTCATTTACCGATTATTTGGCGTATTTTTAATACAAAATTATTTTCAATATTTTACTAATTGAAATGATTTAATTACTTCATAAATATATTTTAAATCAATTTAGCATTTATCGGCTCGAAGAGCTTATGATTCAAAATCCGCCAATCTTATATATCTGGTTAGAGATGGGCAATCGTAATTCATAATATAAATTATGTTCATATGTGATATATAAAATTAGTATTGATTCCTGACTTTAATTATAGTGAATTTATTTTTTATTTCTTATTATTGTATATCTTTAACTTAATTAATTTTATTTGTTAAACTGTACATATTCAATTTGCAAAAATGTCATTAATAATTATTATAAAATGCAAATAATAAATTTAATAGTACATGTTGAAATCTTTAGTCATTCTTATTTTTTTAATTTTTGATAGTTGTTCATCAAAAATGTTGTAGAAAGTCTCCAAAAATTTTCTGTGCATATATTGTATTTTTGTTCAAATTATATTAGCACAAACATATTAATATGTTTTTATAGTATCAATAATTATTAATTATATATTTGGTGCGGTGATTCTTATAATTACCTGTTAAACAAATATCCTTATTATATGTGCCAAATGTTGAAGCATTTACGTTAACTTAATCACATTTCACCTGTTATTATTATATTTTCATAATTCACTGAATTGATTTTATTATTGGGTTTTGCTAAATAACTTTTCGAAATGTAAAACCGTTGCCTGTTGTCTGTTGTCTGTTGTATCGAGCACGTGTTCGATGCACTGCGGCGATTGATGTTACACTAAAATGTTAAAGTTGCGCTCGGTCGATACTTATCAATGGAGGAGGTGGAAATATTGTCATATTGCCCAATCTGCCATATCCCCATATGCATGCTAAATGGCACATTTATGTAAGCGAGGAAATATCCAATGATAGACTTCCTTCTAAATTTCTACACCACTGAATAATTCGGAGCAAGAAGACGAACAAATAATCACACGTAACAAACGGAACATTTTATCCCAGTTTGTGGTTTTTACCAAGTTAAATTGGCCGAGCTTTATCTTTTGAATTAATCATGTAT